AATTTTACATGTTGAAACAGCATGTTTCCCTTATCTCGCGCGCGCGCCGGTGCGCGGGCAATATATGGAAACAGCGTGATGGAGGCATTGGAAGTACGAGTGAAACAGCTTGTTTCCACCATTCATTCTTCAGGGTGGCGCGTGTCACCTTTGATTTTTTCATATGGCGCCTTTTGTTTTTTTGTGTTGAGCGCGCGCGCGACAAGGAAAGCGTTGTGTTTGAGGATCGAGCATTCCATGTTGAGGTCACCAGAATACGAATGAAACAATTGATTTTCACCATTGAGTTTTCGAGCTTAAGATGGGCATTGCAGATGTGTTGTTGTCGTGCACGCGCCAGGGCGCGCGCGAGTGCGCGCGCGTGCGTGATAAGAACACGTGCTATTCGACTATGTATATTTCCCTGCCACGGCCTTCATAATACCAGTAAAACAAATGGTTTCATCATTCAATTCTCGAATTTATCATGGAAGATTTATGTGCGTTATAGAATGACATGCTTACGAACACTCAACATGTGTTGTTGTGTCTCCTTTATTTGTGTATCGAGCGCGTGTATTGTATTTGCAGAAGAAGCAGAGTTTCTACGGCCTGTTGTGATACTTGTTAGAATAACCAAGACATTTGACAAACAACCAAGACATCTAACAAAAAAACAAGACATCTGACAAAAACCAAGACATCGCACAATCTGGAACAAAAACCAAGGCAATCCACAAAAACCAAGACATTTCGCAGCTATGAAAAAAATACCTTCGGATGTCTGGGGGGACCCCGAAGGGTCGAATCCAACACCTCATGAGAGCCCTCCAGGCCCCCAGCGCCGTGCCATCATACATCTCAACGATCTGAAAGTTAGTGCCGTGACATATCACGTTGAGAAAGGCCAGCTGCTGATCCTGAAAGGTGACAAAAAAGGTGTCCATAGCCACTATCTTATTGAACTCGAAAGTCCTGGGGACAGCAGCTGGTCGCGCGCTGTCTGGACGAGCGTGTGCGGCACAATCTCGGCACTGATATTCATCACGAACACACTGCAGGGCCTCTGGCTTGGCGTGAGCCGCTCTCAGGATTTTCACGAAAACCTCCTTATGGGGGTGACCCAGATTGACGTGAACCTTGTGGATCATTCTTCGAACCTTTGGGGTAATCTCGAGCCTAGAAGGAATCTGATTTTCTTCCTCGGCTTCCTCGGGACCAGGCTCCTCCACGTTTTGTCCTTCCTCGGCCTCAGCCGGAAAACTCGCGGCCGTGTAGAGCTGTCTGTACTCCGACTGTCTGGCACGGGCGACCTGCTCTGATGTCGGGGGAGGGTAAGCTCCCTCGATGCTGGAACGGATAGCCCCGGCCAGAGCCTTACAGAACTTGGAAGGATAAACTCGGGCCGCGCTGGTCATAGCTCCCCCTATCAACTGGGCGCGAGGATGGTCACCCCGGCATCGGGCGTCCTCGAAGCGTCGGAGAAAGACCTCGCAGTTTGACATCAGTCTAGTGGGTTTCTTCGAGAGCTCCCCCCCTTTGGCGATCGAAAGCCCGAAACGACACATGTCGACATCCGTGACGCGCACCTCCGGGAGCTCCGAGATAAAGCGAACCACATTAGTACACCAGGAACTAGCCGTGACGGGGTGCTCGAAAACGAACTTCCTGTGATTTTGATGCTGTTCCAGAGCCACTTCCATGGCGAAACCAAGAAGGACCAGAGCCTCGGCGTACTTTCGTCGCTGATGCTCTGAGACTTCTCGGTGGAGCTGGCCATTCTGGGCTATCGGAAACTGATCACAGGGGCTCAAGAACCACCAACCACGGTTTTTCCTCTCGGATGCGGGTTCTAAGTTTGCGCCTGTGATCCTCCTTTCTGAAGTCCCATCCTCCCTCCTGATCAAAGCTGCCGACACTCCTGATGCCAGCATGCTCGGCGTGCTTGACGATTCTTGGAGGTGAGAACACCTCCGCAAAAGCTCGCCTCCTCAGCTGAGCCCTGAAACTCTTAATCTTATTAGAGATCCCCGAATCAACATATATGCTTTTTCTCTCCCGTTTGTTAAGGAGAACTTCCCTGTCGTCGGAATTGAAATCGCCGAAGATGGTGTCGTCGAGCTCTCGGCATCTGAAACGGATCTTATCCTGGCTCTCTCCCAATTCGGTGACCTCAAAGAGCGAACATAGCTTCCCGAAGGACTCCCGGGACCCCGCTTCCATGGTGAAAACGTTTGGGTGATTGGGATCCCCTATCCTGGTACTGGTACTGGATGGTTCAGCTACCCTACTCACTTCCACTTGGCGTCGCTGCTGTCGTAGCGGTAGTCCTGCCACCCCGTCGGAGTCCAGCCCTCCTGGGCCAGCCTGCGCTTCTCCGCGTCCTTCTGGTGCTCCTGGGCCTCCCAGGCGCGCTCGTCCTCGGACCGCTGCCAAGCTGCGTCTGAGGCTTTCTGTGGGCGACCAGGACGCTCCTGTGGCTGCGGATTCTCCTGCTGCCAGGCGGTCGCCGTGGGATGTCCCGCCGGCGTGGCTGGCGCCGGCTCCTGTGATGGCTGAACAGAGGGAAATGTGGCTATGCTGCTGATGGTGGACGAAGACACCAGCTGACCATCCCTGTCGCGGATACCCTTCGGGTTGGCGGTGTCCTTCTTCAGCAGACTCCTCTGCGATGCCGCATACCCCTTTGGAGGCGGCCACGCAACCGACGAGCTCGCCGCTCCCGCTGCTTGCGGTGGAGGCAGACCGTACGACGGGTAGGCGGGAGTCACAGGCGCTGCCCCGACGATTCCCCACTCCTGGAGGCCCGCGACCTGGGGGGTCATGCCGATCCCGATCGTCTGCCTGACCTGCGCCGGTGGCGTGGCAATCGACATCTGAGGCACGCCGGGAGGAACTCCTGCTGGCTGATGCAGACCTGGAGGCCACTGGCAACCGGCCTCGTCCATCTGGCCCGTCACCGCTGCTGCCCCGCCGTGTCCTGGCCCTCGCGCCAGAGCGCCCGCCAATGGGACTGGCTGCGGGCTGAGCTGGTGCGCCTGAGTGGACTGCGGCGGCACCTGCTGCGGGGGAAACTCGGGCTGCTGCTTCAGCGGCGTCCCTGGCTGCGAGTTCGCCTGGAGCTGCGACTGCATCGTGGCCAAAGCGTTCATCTGCCCTGAGATGGTGCTCTGCAGGCCCGCAATCACGCGGTCCTGTGCCTCCTGCTTGGCCGCGAGGTTCTTGAGGATCTGGAGCGTCTCCCCGGAGTTGCTGGCATCGTCCGAGCTCGCCGCTCCCTCGATCATGGAACGCTTGGCGGGTGCCTGACTCGAGTCCTTGCGCCTCTGAGCCCTCGCCTGGCGAGCCTGCTCCTCTACGTCCTCCATCACGACGTCCGGCTGCTCCTCCTCGTGACGCCGGTAGACCTCCTCCGCCGCCCGACGGTCGCGAGCCGCCGGCCAGGGAGGGAGAGTGCCGGCTGGCGCGACTCCGCCCTGAAACGACCCTGGCGGCGGAGCCGGCGTGTTGACCAGGGCCTGCCAGTCCTGCGAGGGGGCCCCGTACTGGGCGAAACCCTTGCCGCACAAGGTGCACGCGGCCGTCGCGCGCTTGCAGACGCACGAAACGTCGACCTTCGGCTTTCCCTTCTCGGGCTTGACCTCGCGGTAGGCGACCCGCATAGTGCATGATGAACAGACCCACCACTGTCCATGCCCATTGCACCCGTACTCGACGCTGGTGGGCAAATGTCGGCACGTGTAGAACGCGTCTGGGATCACCCGCAGACGCCTGATCAGGTTCGTGGGCCAGAACCTCTTGTCGGGCATCATGCGCCCAAACTCGTCGGCGAGCTTGTTGAGCCAGAACACGATGCTGCCTACGATGGCCGCCCACCCCTTCTCCTTGCGGTTCAGGCTGGACGGGACTTGCGCCCCGGTGACCGCGTACGTCCACGTGGAGCTCGGGCCCATCAGGTGGTCGACCAAAGTCAGCGGCCGCTGAGCTCGACGCTGCGCCTCGGTCTGCTGCTTCTTCTTCCTCTCCGGCGGCTGGCCGGCATTGGCACCGCCGACTGGGGGGCCACTGGGCATCTCTGAATCGCGAAGGACTTCGTGGCTGTAGTCCTTGCTGCGAGCGGAATTCGCTCCTCTCTGAAGCTCGAAAGCTCGAGCCGAACCGCTGTAGCAAAATACACACCGTGATGAATGTGACCACCCACATGTGGATGAGATTCTTCCGGGGGAGGGCCCCGCTCACCATCGCTCCGAAGGCGTCGTCGCGATATCTCCCCTGGCGTCGTCTCGTCCCTGAGTGTCTGGATCCCTTAGCTGATGATCCAGGCTCACTAAGCCCCATCGCGACGTCGTGTTCGGAACGATTCCCTGAGCCTACGTCGGCCCCCCTGGCCCTTGTCGGCGTGTCGAGATCGCCACGGGACCCTCTGGTCCCTAGACAGACCCCCAGACCGAGCCCCAACCTTTCCCGAAGACCGTCGTAGCTGGGTGATTCGGCCCTCTGAGAGGAGGAAAAGTGGAAGAGGTGAGAGGTAGGATCGACGATGGCCGAGGTCTTGTATGCCCCAACAGTGCTGTCACACTGAAAGTCGCTCTCTTTGAGTCCTGGATGCTGCTGAAACAGAGATGCCGGGCACCTGAAGCTCCGGGGGGATTGAAACTCGTCTATTCGAATTGTCCTGTGGCCACTGTGCATCCTCCTCATCGGAGTCTCCACGCCCAGGCGCCTTAAACTCATAACGTGATTGTCGAGATCTATCTTGGAACCTAGCATCTCCTGAAGTCCTACTGGAAGCAAAGGGGGCACGTCTTCCTGCAAAACGTCTAGCTCTACTACGCCCTCTTTGCCCTGAATTCCGGTCGGGACCAGGGCCGTGTGCAAAACCCTAGTGCCACCCCCTACTCCTTGGGCATTCCTGTTCCTAGGCTCTACTAAGGGAATCTTCAGGCCTAGCTTTTTCAGTCTCTGAGAGTGCCGCTCGAGCGCCTGAGCCCCAATCAGGCCCTGGCCGGCAGCGGTGTCCACTATGCCTCGCCGGCCTCCACCGTGAGCAGCACCGTCGCCTGCGCGGCCCGGTCCCTCTCGTTCTGCTCCGTCTCCGACACGACAGGATCCAACACGTTCGCGAAGACGAAGCCAGTGACGTTCGTGATCCCTCCTGCGGTTGCACTCGCACTGAGACTCTGGCCATTCCGCTTGGGACATTCACGTGCCCAGTGGCCCTTCTCGTTGCACTTCCTGCACCTGGTCTTCTTGATGAGCTCCGAGAGCGGAAGCCTGGTCTTTCTTTGACGAAAAGTGCCGTCAGCTCCTCTATGACCTCTGTTCTCACGTGAGGTCGACACTTTGACCGTCTCCTTCGTCCTGTCGAAGAACCTGCGATCGACCTTCATTTTCCGCTTGAGCTCTCTGTTCTGCTTCCACGTTTTCCGCCTGTCCTCCTGCATACTGGCGAACACCACCGGAAGCTCGTCGTCGTATAGATTCAAGTTCTCGATGGCCAGGTATATCTCATTCTCTCCCTCTGTGTTGAGGGACGAGACGTCATCGTAGTCCACCATCGAGTCATCCTCGTCGTCCTCCACGGAGTAGCTGGGCTCATTGTTCGTCCATTGTGATGTCCACGACGACGCTGATCCTCGGTCGGTGTGGTATGTTCGTGCCCTCTGGTGGGCAAGATGCCCCTTTCTTGTGACGTCCATCTCTCGGATGGCCTTGAGGGCGTCCGGATACGAGTCCTTCGTGGCCATAAGAACCTTCATCAGCTGCTGGCCACGCTCGTCGAGTCCTACGCCCTCCTCCAAGAACATGAACTTCCAGTCTTCTGGCACGGGCAAGCCCAATGTGCCGACTCGGTCGAAGGCTAGGTCTATTCTCGCGGCGTACTCGGTAAGGCCCTCGCCCTGACGTCTCTGGAAGGAGAAAAGGCACTCCCTCGCGGCCTTGCGCTTCTCGTCCCCGACGCGCTCGCCACTCAGGAGGTCCAAACGATCTATCACCCTCTGAGCGCCTTCCCGCGACATGATAACCTCATCCGGAATGTCCTCTAGCTTCCTCTGGAGGTCGATGGGCAGCGCCTTCAAGATGCGGTCGGCGTGCTTGGTCTCGCCGACGTCTGTGCTCTGGCGCCACCTCATGACCTTTCGTCGCCATAGCTTGTATTCTGGCCATCCGGCCCATGGCTCGGGGTCCGCAAAGTCGCGACCCCTTTCTTTCCAGCTCCAGCCGCCGTCCTTGGAGTCGTCCCACTTCCAGTTGCCGTCGTTTTGGGCTCCGCTCCAACTCCAGCGGCCCTGCCACCAGCGATCCTGGTCAGCTCGCTCGGGGGCCCTGCTGGACACTGAGCCGGCTGCGGCTCTGTCCCTGGCCCACGGGTCTGTGCCGTCTCGCTGCCATTCGTCCTCTTGTGGTGCTTGGCCCTCTGCTCGCCGTTCGTCCGCCTCTGGCTCTGGACTAGGCTGTTGAGCTTGGCTACGCACATAGGTGAGGATCTGCTTCAGCTGTGCTTCCGAAAGCGGGCTTGAGATGCGGTACTGTTCTGCAGTCCGCTCAGACTGTCTTGCGCTCTCAAGGAGGCCTCGTAGTTGCTCCTCTGAGAGCCTGATGCGTCCGTCCTCGTCTGCCCATTGTCTCGCTGTCCCAATGGCTGTTGCCACTGGCCCCTGGCCACTATGATCGGATCCTCGAGATTGGTTATCAACACCTTCCTCGTCCGCTGGCATCGGTCCGCAGAAAGTCGACTGAGCGCCGTCGTACCGACGCTCCGCTACCACTGTCTCCCCACGATGTCAGCTCAGGATGAGATGCTGCCCTTTTCCTCGAGCCCGTCCGAGCAATGTCCCAAGGCCACCAGCGGAGGTCAGCCAGGATATCAGGGGGAAGGTGGGATAGATTGGAAGGTAACTGGGATTGACAGAGAGGGGCTGTGAGGGACGTACGGCTTGAGCCAAAATGGGTACGGACGTCGCACCCCTCTCTGTATGTTCAAGCACATAGGCAAACGACGGAGGACACAACTGCAAATCAATGAGCCGTTGGCGCTCATTCCCACACCGGGAAATCCCGGGAAACGACACTCGCTGAGGCGCCGGCGTCATTTTCGGGCCGAACGCCCCCCGCGTACGGTTTTTTTTGCACAGGATTCCCGGGAAACGGGTTTTCGCCTGCGTTTTTTTCCAAAATGATGCTCTCGCTGAGGCGCCGGCCTCATTCCTGCTCCCGAATCGTTCCGAATCGTGTTCCCGCTGCAGCGTGGGCATCATTTTCGGATCGGTGTTTGGCCTCCGTCGTTCAGGATGGCGTTCTCGCCCCAGCGCGGGCCTCTTTCTCGCGCGCCCATCCGCCCGCCACCACCGCGCCGCACCACCACCACCACCACCACCACCACGACCACCACCACCACCACCATCACAACCACCACCAGCACCACCACCACCACCACCAGCACGAGCACCAGCACCAGCACCAGCACCAGCACAAGCACCACCACCACCACCACCACCACCACCACCACCACAACCACGCACACACGCACGCACGCACGCACGCACGTGCACCACCACCCACTACGCACGCGCGCGCGGAGCCACAGGTCCGCTACGACACGCGTCCGCGGATAGAGAAAATCAGCGCCATGGTAAGGGATGGGAGGGAGGGGTAGGACGTCAGATATGACGCGAGCGCACCTAGCTTGCCCATTCCCCCTCCACCCCTTCCCTATCCCCCTCCCTCTCCCTTCCCCCTCTGACGGCGCCGCCCGAATGAGCCTTCTAAAGATCGAGGTGGTGAGAAGGGATCACCGACATGCAGCATATAATTGGCGATGCTGTAGGCCGCGCTCCCCGAAATCCCAGGAAACAATTTGGCCTGAAGACTTCGCGGGCCCCGCAGAGGGCCCTGGAGGCTCGGCGAAACGCTGCCCTCCTCCCCCTCCTCCTCTGCTCCCGCATAGGCATCGCATGAGAGGCGATCGAGCTCATCGAGATCGACAGGGGGCATTTACATTCGAGAGGCTCGGTGAGCTCAAGAGCCCTTCCCTCAATCCCCCTTGCCCTCTCCACCTCCTCCCTGTCTCCCTCCTCCCTCTCCCCCTCCTCCCCCTCCCCCGCCTCCTCCTCCCCCTCGTCCCTCCCTCCTCTCCCCTCCCTCCTTCTCCCCCATCCCTCCCCCTCATCCCCCCCCTCCTCCCCCTCCCGATTGCGTCCAGATTTCGCTCAGATTCCTTGAAATGCTCCTCCAAATCCAGCTGAAACGTTGCTCAGATTCCGTCAGAATTCCAGGCAGGCCCCACCCAGATTCCATTCACATCCCATCAATATTTCATCAACATTTCATCGACATTTCATCAACATGTCATCAACATTTCATCGCGGCGACGCAGACACCCTGCAAAAAAACACCAGGAAAACGCGGAGGGGGCAACTTTTGTTGTAAATTGCAGGTTAAAGATGCGGAGGTCACTTCGGAACTGTGAACTCACATGCAAATCTCCATCCGGAGGGCCCAGACGGGAAGAGCAAAATCAGCCGGAGGATGACGGAAACCCTGCAACGTTTCAGGGAAAGCAGCATCAAGATTGCATCGACATTGCATCAAGGTCACGAAACACTGCGAAAACACAGCACAAAAATGCGGGTGTCATTTGTTCCAAGGCTGAAAATGCGGAGGGTCGAGGAAACCCTGTACTTGTACACACAAAGCCGCATCAACATGTCATCAACTTTTGGAAATTGTCGCGACACCCTGTGGTTTCACAATCAAAAATGCGGAGGGTCGAGGAAACCCTGTAATTTCACAGGCAAAGCTGCATCAACATTTCATCCACATTTTAAAATTATCACGGAGCCTGTGATTTGACATTGAAATATGCGGAGGTCACTTCGCAGATGAGGCTGGAAATGCGCAGGTCGCAGGATACCGTTGTTATTTCACAGAGGAAGTCGGTGAGGTCTTCCACCAAGATCTGGGATGTATTTTTTGTTATTCTTGAAACTGTGTTTTCTGACCGTTAAAAAAATGAAATGCCGCTAAAACGCGAATCAAGTTGTCAGGCCGCCACAAAAAGAATATGTTATGTTGTCCGGCTGCTTCAAACGAAATCATGTTGTAAGGCCGCCACAAAAGCAATCCTTTTGTGGGGTTGCCACAAAAGGAATCCTTTTTGTAAGGCCGCCACAAAAAGAATCCTATTGGAACCCTCGTAATTCTTCAGCACCAGCAACGGAAAACTAGGAAAGCAATGCAAAAAAAAAATGAAAACAAGGAAAACACAACAAAAACCAAAGAAAAATAAGAAAAACCTGTGTAAACACAGCCAAAAACAATGAAAACCATAGAAAACCAATGGTAACACAGCGAAAAGCAATGAAACTATATGGATACCTGGTTGTTCATTGCTTTTCTTTGGTTTTGAAAGCTTTCTGCTGTGTGTTCATGTGCCTTCTTTGGTTTTTATTGTTTCGGGCTGTGGTTTCATATTCTTTGTGTGTGTCATTGTTTTTTGATGTGTTTTCCGTATGTTCCTTGTTTTCCATTGTTTTCCTAGTTTTCCGTTGTTGGCTCCAGATAGAGGATTACAGCCTTAAAATAAAATTCTTTTGTGGCGGCCTTACGAAAAGGATTCCCTTTGTGGCGGCCGTACACAGGAATTCCTTATGTGGCGGCCTTACAGAATGATTTCTTGCAAAGCTGCCTTAAAAGGGGATTCCTTTTGTTGCGGCCTTACACAGGAATTCCTGTTGTAAGGTTTTTGATTCGGCTTTGGGACCAGCAGCGGACCCCCCCAAAAAAAATGAAAACACATCAAAAAACCAAAGAAGAATAATAAACACCTGTGTAGACACAGCCAAAAACAATGAAAACCACAGAAAACCAATGGTAACACAGCGAAAAGCAATGATATATATATATATATATATATATATATATATATATATAATATATATATATATATACATATATATACATATATACATATATATATATACATGGAAACATTGTTGCTCATTGCTTTTTTTTGGTTTTGAAAGCATTTGCTGTGTTTTCAAGTGTTTCCTTTTGTTGCTATTGTTTTGGGTTGTGTTGTCACAATATTGTTTTGTTGTTCCTTGTCTTGTGTTGCGTTTTCATGGTGTTCCTTGTTTTCCCTTGTTTCTTAGTTTGCATTAGTTGGCACCGAAAAAACAGATTCGAGCCTTGCAGCAGGATTCCTTTTGCGGCGGCCATGCAAAAGGATTCCTTTCGTGAAGGCCATACAACGGGATTCGTGTTGTGCCGGCCTTGCACAATGATTCCTTTTGGGGCGGCCATATACATAGATTCACGTTGTGGCTGCCTTACAAAATTGATTATTTTGGGCCAGCCTTGCAAAAGGACTCCTTTTGTGACGGTTCTACAAAGGAATGTATTTTCTGATGGCTTTAAAAGAGGATGCGTTTTGCAGTGGCCACGCAAAGGACTTTTGTTGTGGTGGCTTAACAAAAGAGCTCCTTCTGTTGCGCTTTAACGAAAGAATCGTGCTTTTTCTGGCAGTCAGACGCACCCCCTGAAGGGTTTCTTTTGTTGCACCGTCGTCAAGAGGAAGAAAATCAGGTCAGATTTGATTGTCTTGAGGCGAAATCTCGCTACGAGAGAGGTATTGGAAGATCAGCGTTGCGATCGCATTCATGGCGGACGCACCCCATCGAGGGCTTCTGTGTTTGATTCGCATTTAACAGGGGGTAATTATGTGTGTTTTGGTGTTTGATAAGTTTGGCGACGCATGCGCACTATGACAATCGCATGGAGCGAAGCACATCGCCATCACTGTCGTTCCATGTAAGATTTTGGTTCACGACAGACGCACCCCTCGAGGGCTTTCTTTTTTTAATTGTTGCTGAATTGGTGAAACTGCGCGCAGTTCTTGGCGCATGCTGAGCTCCAAAATACTGTCATTAAACACATTATGGCTGAAAGGAATTAATTATGCGGCGTGCGCGCGTCTGCGAAGGCCAGCCTGTTCTGCTTATATATCTATACATATATGGATGCTTGGTATTCAGGACAACCTGATTATAAATAAGTAAGAGTTTGCTTGGTTCGATTCGCTAAGAACCTGGTATGATTTCGCCGAACCATTCCATGCAGGATGGTGCGCAAATCAATATTAGGCGACGAAACCAGAACTGCTTCGGCGCAACTTCACGCGGGTCCCTGAGTATTTCTGGGGCACCGCTGTTTCGGATGCCTTCCCGCTCACGCGCCCCTGGCGTAACCCGCGCTTTCGCTTAACCCGCGGCGTTGGCGATTGGTTTGAGCGGATTTTTCGACGAGGCAGCAGGGGCGTGCATTTTTGGAAGCTGATCGTCTCCTGCCCTTCGCGTAACTTAAGTGTTTTGCTTAACGCGCGTTGTTGATTATCGGTCTGAGTTGATAAGTTTCAGGACCTAGCAGGGGCATCCATGTTTGGATGCCCGCGTGATCATCGTCGTTGCTTGACGCTTGAGTTTGCGACAATTGGCGCGCATGCGCGTGCAACGAATGCATCTACCTTTTCGCATCTAAATTACGCCTATTG